AACCCGGCCAGCCTCCCCGCTGCCCCTCCGTGTCCCCCAGTGCCCAGCCCGGGACACACCCCAGCCAGAGCCAGCCGTTTGCAGACCTGAGCCGAGAGGAGCTGACGGCCGTGATGAGCTTCCTGACCCGGCAGCTAGGGCCAGGCCTGGTGGATGCAGCCCAGGCCCGCCCCTCGGACAACTGCGTCTTCTCGGTGGAGCTGCACCTGCCCCCCAAGGCCGCAGCCCTGGCCCACCTGGACAGGGGGAGCCCCCCACCTGCCCGGGAGGCACTGGCCATCGTCTTCTTTGGCGGACAACCCCAGCCCAACGTGAGTGAGCTGGTGGTGGGGCCACTGCCCCGGCCCTCCTACCTGCGGGATGTGACGGTGGAGCGTCACGGGGGCCCCCTGCCCTACCACCGCCGCCCCGTGCTGATGCGAGAGTACCTGGACATAAACCAGCTGATCTTCGACAGAGAGCTGCCCCAGGCTGCTGGGCTCCTGCACCACTGCTGCTTCTATAAGCGCCAAGGACAGAACCTGGTGACGATGCCCACGGCCCCCCGAGGCTTGCAGTCAGGGGACCGGGCCGCCTGGTTTGGCCTCTACTACAACGTCTCAGGGGCTGGGTTCTTCCTGCACCCCATGGGGTTGGAGTTGCTGGTAGACCACAAGGCTCTGGACCCTGCCCGCTGGGCCATCCAGAAGGTGTTCTTTCAAGGCCGCTACTACGAGAGTTTGGCCCAGCTGGAGGACCAGTTTGAGGCTGGCCTGGTGAACGTGGTGCTGATCCCAGACAATGGCACAGGTGGGCCCTGGTCCCTCAAGTCCAAGGGGCCTCCCGGTCCGGCTCCTCCTCTGCAGGTCCATCCCCAGGGCCCCCGCTTCAGTGTCCAGGGGAGTCGAGTGACCTCCTCGTGGTGGACTTTCTCCTTTGGCCTTGGAGCTTTCAGTGGCCCCAGGATCTTTGACATCCGCTTCCGGGGAGAACGACTAGCTTATGAGATCAGCTTCCAGGAGGCCTTGGTCGTCTATGGTGGAAATTCCCCTGCAGCAATGCTGACCCGCTATATGGATGGCAGCTTTGGCATGGGCAAGTACTCCACTCCCCTGACCCGGGGGGTGGACTGCCCCTACCTGGCCACCTACGTGGACTGGCACTTCCTTCTGGAATCCCACACCCCCAAGACAATACGTGATGCCATTTGTGTGTTCGAACAGAACCAGGGCCTCCCCCTGAGGCGACACCACTCAAATTTCTACTCCCATTATTTTGGGGGCCTTGTAGAGACAGTGCTGGTGGTCAGATCTGTGTCGACCTTGCTCAATTATGACTACCTGTGGGATATGGTCTTCCATTCCAGTGGGGCCATAGAAGTCCGATTCCACGCCACCGGCTACATCAGCTCAGCATTCCTCTTTGGTGCCGCCCGAAGGTACGGGAACCAGGTTGGGGAGCACACGCTGGGCACCGTGCACACCCACAGCGCCCACTTCAAGGTGGATCTGGATGTAGGAGGTAAGACATCCCTGGGGAAGCAAGGATTCCCGCAGAGGGGGCTGAGGTCTCCATGCCTAGCTTTAAGAACTGTCACTGAAACATTAAAAATATAAAAACATATGAAGTAAAGGTGAAAGTCGGATTCCACAGAGATTTTCATCCTTAGCAGATCGGTTATTCTTGCATACTTAAAAATAAAATTCTTCCATATTTTAAAATATGGCATCTGCAATATTTAATAAATTATAACATTTGTTATATTGTATACCATCTATAAATATGACATACTGATATAAATATTTCAAATTTTTATTACCAAATTTGATTCATAACATACATATATTTTGCCACCTCTGTTTTTTCAGATAACTGCATATCATTCATGCAAGCAACAGTTACTAAATCCGTTTTCTCTTTTTTAGAGAGAGGGAGCAGGGGGAGGGGCAGAGGGAAAGAGAGAGAATCTTATGCCGGTTCTACACCAGGAACGGAGCCCAATGTGGAGCTCCGTCTCATGACTCTGAGATCATGACCTAAACTGAAATCAAGAGTCGGACGCCTAACTGACTGGCCACCCAGGCTCCCCATGAATGCATATTTGTGCCAATCACTGCATTAATGCAATTTAACAAAAGAAACAACATCCCTACTCTCAAGAGGCTTACATTCTAACAGAGGAGTGGAGAACATGTGGAGTGCCTTGAAAAATGTGTATGATAGAAACACTTTTATGTTTAACTGCTCTGTGCCTCACTTTACCCAAGTGTAAAAATGGTGTAACAGTGCATTCTTAGTAAGACTATTTGAGGATTAATGATGAGTACTTTAAGATGCTTTCTCTTTAAAAAAAAAAAAAATCTTTCTTTCTTTCAATAATCTCTACACCCAGCATGGGACTCGAACTCACAACCCCAAGATTGAGATTTGCTTGCTTTTCCGACTGAGCCAGTCTGGTGCCCCAAAAACGCTTTCTCTTTTGAAATAATTTTAGACTTAAGAAAAGTTGCAAACGTTGTCCAGTTCCCATATACCCTTCACCCAGTTCCCCCTAATGTTAACATCTTACACAACCACAGTATGGCAATCAAAACCAGGAGATTAACATTATTACAGTACTATTAACTAAACTACAGACCTTATTAGAGTTTCATTAGTTCTTTCATTAACTTTCTTTTTCTGTTCCAGGATCTAATCCAGGATCCCACACTGCATTTAGGTAACTTTTCTTCTTAGTTTCCTCCAATCTATGACAGCTCCTTAGGCTTTTCTTGTCTTTCATGACCTTGACACTAAGGAAGATTTGGGTCATTATTTTATACAGCATCTTTCAAATCTGATTTCTCTGTTATTTTCTCATGCTAAGATTGAGATTGTACTTCCTTTTTTTTGCAAGAAAACCAGAGAAATGACATTATGCCCTTCACAGTGCATAATATCAAGGGGTACATGAGGTTGAGATGTCTTATTACCAGAGATGTTGACCTCAAGAACTTGGTTAAGATGGTGTCTTCTGGCTTTCTCCATTGCACAAGTTACTACTTTTCCAGGGCACCTGGGTGGCTCAGTCAGTTAAGTGTCTGTCTTCAGCTTGGGTCATGAGCCCAGGGTTCTGGGATCAAGCCCCACTTTGGGCTCTCTGCTCAGCAGGAAGCCTGCTTCTCCCTCTCCCTCTGTCTGTCAGTTCCCCCTGCTGTGCTCTCTCTCTCTCTCTCTGTCAAATAAATAAATAAATAAATAAATAAATAAATAAGTAAATAAAATCTTTTTTAAAAAGTTAGCATTTTTCCATTTGCAGTTAATCAATATCTTGGGGCAATTACTGTGATGCTATGCAAATATCCTATTTCTTTTCTTCTTAAATTCTTGCCCACTGATTTTTAGCATCTGTTGGTAGACTTTTTTTTTTTTTGCAAGAATTATTACTGCAATATTTCCCTACTGGTCATCTCAATTTTTTTCTTTATTCTTTATACATTGATTAATTAGAATTCTCCAAAGGAAAAGTTATCCTCCTTTTACATTGATTTATGCATGTAATTATTCATAACTGCATTGATTCATGGATATTTATTTTATCTTAAGGTTTACAACCCAGCAGTGTTATTTATTCTGTTCCTTGCACTGTTCCAATATTGGTCATTGGGAGATGCTTCCAGTTGGTTCTTGTGTCCTTTCGATATGCCTCCATCCTTTTTGGAGTGCTTCTTTCTTTTTGGCACCACAGGATGTTCCAATTTTTTTTTATTCATCTGAGAGAGAGAGACAGAGCACAAGCAGGGGGAGAGGCAGAAGGAGAGGGAGAAGCAGAATCCCCGCTGAGCAGGGAGCCCGATGCAGGGCTCAATTCCAGGACCCTGAGATCATGACCTGAGCCAAAGACAGATGCCTAACTGACTGAGCCACCCAGGCGCCCCAGGATATTCCAATTTGATCTTGTATTTTCCCTGCTCCAGCCCTGGAACCCAACCCCCTCTCCAAGGAGCTCTGGTTCCTTTTTACTGGAGGATACTCTTTAGAAACCAAGCCCAGGGTACCAGGAGTGCTCATTAGCAATGGGACATCATTGCTTTTAGGCTCACTCATTGGACTTAACTAGAAAAGATGCATATGTATTCCACCTGACACACACATCTCTCTTTATCTCTGTACCTAAGCGAGGACGTCTCTTCAAACTCTTTGAACCGTGCCTGACAAGTAGTGAGAAGTATTAGCCATTGTTGCTGTCATTGTTGTCCATATGAGCCCACTGTGTGGATGTTCCGGAAAGAACTGTTGGCCTTTAATTGTCACCTATGGGTAGAAACCCTGGGGTGTGGACGGAGGGTCAGTGAATCCACAAAAGGAAAGCGGGAGTCTGCTTCATCAGTCTCTGCTCTCTGCTTTGGCTTGTGTTCGTTTATTGCTCTTTGGTCTCAGATCCCTTAAGTTGACTCCTAATAGGGTACCTAGTGAGATTCTGATAAAAATCATTCAAAATTCCCAGAGTTCAAGGAACAGACCGTGCCTTTGGCCCTGTTCTTAATTCCTTGCCAAACCCCAGATGATAGGAAGCACCACGAAGCTCCGGCAGCATCGGGCCCTGGCTCCGATTTTCCTTCCCTCTGGCCTGCACCACTGCTGTCTGCATGGGGTGTGCCCCCTCAATGTGGCTCTCCTGTGTGTGCCGCTGTGTGGGCAGTGCAGACCCCAGAGTAAGACTGGGGTCGCCAGCACCACCGTCATGGTAACCACATACCCTTGGTGACAAGCCAGAGCACGTTACTTAAATTCTCTAAGCCTTAAATTAAGCCTAAACTTAAATTCTCAATGGGCACAGGTGTAGTTCCTCCTTTATAAGGCTGCAGTGCAAGTAAAGCCTCAGTGCCCTGCGGTGCAGAGCTCCTTGAGGAGGAGTGAAGGTGAGCAACCACTGTTCCTATGTTCATGATAAGGCAGTTCTGGTGACGCTATAGGGCTTCACACATGAGGCATAGGGTCAGAAGGAATCTGACTGCACATTGCCTGCTAGGCTGCTCCAACTTCAGGTCAACCATCCTCCCTTGCAGGCCCTCAAAGGGAGGACGTCAGTGGAGGCCCAGTCACAAGGCATCCAGCATTATTACCAAAGATGACATTAGGCAGAAAGACCTTCTCCAAATCTCTGGGTCAGGGCTATCTTGGGTGGAGGGAAGGGAAGCAGGGACACACTCCATTCTGGGTTTCTCCTTGGCCCCACTCTGAAGCGGTGAGTGGCGGGGCAGGGACAGAGTCCAGAGGGGACAGGGCAGCTGCATTACCAGCCCTCCCTCCCCCCACCTGCCTCCACCCCACCCCACCCCCCGCCCGCCCCGCAGGACTGGAGAACTGGGTCTGGGCTGAGGACATGACCTATGTCCCCACGGCGGTACCCTGGAGCCCCGAGCACCAGATGCAGAGGCTGCAGGTGACCCGGAAGCTGCTGGAGACCGAGGAGCAGGCCGCCTTCCCCCTGGGAGGCGCCCTCCCCCACTACGTGTACCTGGCCAGCAACCACAGCAACAAGTGGGGTCACCCGCGGGGCTACCGCATCCAGCTGCTCAGCTTTGCTGGGGAGCCGCTGCCGCAGAACAGCTCCTTGGAGAGAGCCTTCAGCTGGGGGAGGTGAGTGGCGGGTGTCAGCACTGGAGGAGGTGGACCATAAGAAGGGCCCATGTTGCTGAGAAGCTACTTGGCCCCAATCTCCCGTGGGTGTGCATGCACACACACAATCACACACACACACATTCCTGAGGCCACAATCTTAACACTACTCCAAATGAAGCCTACTGGATGGACGCATAGATGGAGAACTCCATGCTGACTCAAATATAATAAGATGTTGAAGGTGGAATCTAGGTTGTGGGTTCATGGGTGTTCACTGGGCCATTCTTTCAACTTTTCTGCACGTTTAAAATGTTCACAATAAAAGTTGGAGGAGAAAACAAAGAGTAAGAGAGGAACACGGATCTGAGGGAACATGCCCTAACATCCAGGCATTTGACATCCTGGAATGGACTGAAGATGGGAATCAGGCCACATCTACACACATGCGTCCACGGTGCGGGCTCAGATCTGGATGGACGTGTGAGGATGACATTCCTATCTGAGGTCTGAACAGTGGGCCGGTGGACGTTGGTAATACAGGATATGGAACAAACTCAGGAACTCTATGGGACAGAGAGACAGAAAGAGAACAAGTGTACAGAGAATGAAAATGAGGCTCGACACCGCGAGACCTTTGTGCTCATTTCCCCTTTGTGTTCCCTCTTCAGTGCAGCTTCGGGCAGTAGGACAGCTTGGTGACCTTGTGATCGAATCCAAATCTCCTATGGGGTACCATCTGGCGGTGACCCAGCGGAAGGAGGCGGAGCGAAGCAGCACCAGCATCTACAATCTGAACGACCCTTGGACTCCCACCGTGGACTTCGCTGACTTCATCAACAATGAGACCATTGCTGGAGAGGTCCATTGACCGTGGAGGGGGTGGAAGCAAGAGGGGGAGGCAAAGGAAGCAAGGATGAGCCACCTTGTTCACTCCTAAAGCCACATTCCTTGGGGGTCTTTAGGACCTACCAAGAAAGAAAGCTTTGTGATTTCATATTCTTCCTGGGCTGGCAAGGGGAATCCTCACACCCGAGGCTGCTGGAGGAGGCGGGCCTGTCCCTCACAAAGCCAGGCCTCAGGACCCTCTTTTTTCTCCCCTGCCAGGACTTGGTGGCCTGGGTGACGGCTGGTTTCCTGCACATCCCACACGCAGAAGACGTTCCCAGCACGGTGACGGTGGGGAATGGTGTGGGCTTCTTCCTCCGACCCTACAACTTCTTTGACCAGGACCCCTCCTTCGAGTCTGCGGACTCGGTCTATTTCCGGGAGGACCAGGGTGCCGGGGCCTGCGAGGCCAACCCCCTGGCTTGCCTTCCCCAGGCTGCTGCCTGCGCCCCAGACCTCCCTGCCTTCTCCCATGGGGGCTTCTCTCACAACTAGGGGGTCCCCGGGGCGGGAAATATGGTCAGGGGCCCCAGGGCCAGGGTGCGTGGGGAGGGGAGCGGTAGGTGCTGGGCCAGGCGGCCTGGCGCCCTCTTCTCTTCCTTCCTTCCAGCCCAAGGCTCCCTGCCTCCCCTTCTCCCCAGGCCCCCTCTCTGTCGCCCTCCCTGACACCCCCTCCCTGCTGGGAGCATCCTGAGCCTGTGATGCCTGGCACTGGGGGAGGGGCAGAGACATGACTCAGCTTTGTTGACCCCAGACCTGCTGGGTTCCCGTCCCACAGAGAAGAATGGCCAGCTGAAGCCCGGACTGATGGCCAAGCTTTTCCCAGAAGACTCCTGTTTTTTTGTGGTTTTGTTTTGTTTTTTTTTTTGCTTTCCGGCTTTCCCCTGTTGTTTTTCAACCCATCTCCTGAGCCTCCTCAGTTCCTTCCTCGGAAGGTGAGGATGGTGTTGCGGCGCTGGGGCTAGTCCCCTAGACGCTCCAGGGCAGGGCTCCTGCCAGGCCTACGCCTCCACGGAGGAGCTAGAAGGGGGTCCTTAGCCCACATTCCTCTTACCCAACTTCTCCTCTCCCTCTTCCTTCCCTTGCCTACTTCCGCCTCCTCCTGTCGCCACCTGCTCTTACAGCCTCGGATTTCCCTCCCAGGCCTGAGAGGATATGCCTCTGTCCCGATGCTCCCCTCGTCTTCATTTCTAATTTAGGTCTCCTCTCCCGGCTCTCTGCCCATGGAAGTCTCAAAATGCAAGGGACCTCTGGTTTGAGAGGACAATCCCTGTCTGTCCCCCTGTGTCTGTCACAGACTAGAGTAGGAGTTGTCCCCACCCCTGTCCCGGGGCAGGCTGTAATTCCCGCAAGTCCCCTCGGCCGCTTTGTATTCGCCTGCTTTGCACTTTCTGGCAAAGGACGGTCTCACGGCAGCCTCTCAAGTTAGCATCTGAGGCGGACCTGTGGGTACCGGGGTGATGAGGGGCGGTCATCTGGGCCAGGCGTGTGTGTGACCAGTGAGCGCACAGACTCCGCAGCAGCGGACACGGACAGCAGGGGGGCGCCAACGGTGGGAAGCTCTGAGACCTTGGAACTCCAGTGGCCACCACTTGTGGCCACGCAAATGAGCTGGGGGCTGGCTCCCACCATGCTGTCTCTCAGGGGCTCTGGGTGAGGGGCGGGTGCGCCCATGGTGAGAGATTGGAACTACAGGCACATCCTTTCCTCGAGGATTGGTTAACTGAACTCCTACGCAGCCTTATAATGCAGGGCTGTGCAGCTCCAGCTAGTACTGGAGTCCTAGAGTACTCGAGTACTAGTACTCGAGTACTCTGTGTGTACTAATAGGGAAAGATCTTCGAGTGAAAACGGCAAGGCACGGAAGTGTGTGTGGTGCGCTTTGCCTTTGTGTGGTAGAAAGGGGGAAACTATACATATTTACTATATATGCATATCCAGAAGAAACCAGTGATACTGGTTGCTTTTGGGGAAGGGTGGGGAAAGAGGAAGGAGGAGACTTAGCACTCCATACCCTTTTGTGTGTTTTGAAATTTGAGCCATGTGACTGTATTACCTATTCAAAATAAATAAAAAATGGGCCCAAACAGGACCTGACTTGTTGGTTGGTTGGTTGGTTTGCTACTGACAAGTCTTTTAAGAAGGGGTGAGGGTAGGGGTAAAGTAAAGTGAATGAATATGGACCCAGGGACTCGATTTGGTCGGTCTCTGAGACCCAGAGAAATGGATGTGGCCTCTGGTGGATAACTCCTGTGCGCTTCTCTTGCCTGTCCAGCCCTGAAGACAATCTTAAGCCTCGGTCGTGCTCTCTCTCTCTCTCCCTGTCTCCATCTCTGTCCCTCTCTTGTTTCCTCTCTGTGTCTCTTAAAAGAGGGGACAATGGGAAGCAATGGAGAGAGGTGACTTCTGCCTGCTGAGAGCCTGGGCCGGGTTCATTTATGGCACTGCCTGAGCTGGAAGCCGGAGTGACAGAACACGGAGATTGAGGGCGAGAAGCCACTGAAGCCTGGGACAGAGGAGAAAAGCCATGGATGCTAAGGCCAACCGTGACTCCGATACGGACCTTGTACTTCCTCTCTCCCTGACCTGAGTACTTTCTCTATCACGAGCAGATCGGTTTTCCACCTTGTATGGCTCCTTCTTATGACCAGCCGCACGGCGGTCAGTGCTGGGGGAAAGGGAAGGCGGGAATGCTGGTGTCCGCCCCTCCCCCCAGCCCATCACACTCACGTGAATCTCATGACCTTGAAACCCACGTCCACACCAAAGAACATGAGTGTTTGTACGCGGTCATATGTGTGAGTGGGTGTGAATGCTCACCAGCTTGTGTGTGTGGTTGTGTCTTTACATTTCCTCACAGGGGTGACACCACATGTTCCAGCCTCAAATGAGAGGAGGCAGGAGGGACATGTGGATCATTAGAACGCCTGCCCAGCTGGGGTCAGAAGGGCCGCGGGGTGGATTCCCAGCCCCCTACCCAAACCTAGTCTCTTCCTTAGACCACTGAGGCCAGCTTAGAATGTTGGCCTCACATTTGTGATCCAGTGATAGGAGTGAATACTTACCAAGCATGTTAAGTTCTGAAGGAACCAGTGCCCCCAAAGCTAAAATCTTTAGGACATGGGCCCCTTGCCCTAACAGGAGCTGGACAAGGAGAGCCTGAGGCTTAGCTCAGAGGGCATAGCTGGGACTTCTCTAGGAATGTAGACACTAGAACGTTCTGGAAGGAGCACAACATGTGTTCTCCTGCCTCTGCTCTCCTCCTGCAGCCCCTGGGAAGGGCTCCAGCTCCAAGTGCAAGAGGATTCCTTCATACATCCAACAAAGATTTATAGTGCGCCTTCTAAGGGCCAGGCACATGCGAGGCACTAGGATGCGTTAGTGAATAAGACGCACAATTTTTGTCCTCGGAGGAGGGAGGCTAGGAAAGGAGAGTTGCAGTCAGGACTGCAGGGAGGAGAGAGGAGGACAAGAGCAGGGGCTCCTGACTCAAACTTAGGGACTGTGGAAGGCTTCCTGTGGGACACGATGTCTAAACTTGGGACAAGGAGGACAAGGGAGAGAATTTTCCAGGCTGGGGAAACAGCGTGATCAAAGGCCAGGAGGTGACAAAGCGGCACCATCCAAGTACTTAAGTTCATTGATAGGCATATGGGCTCTAAGGAAGCCTGGAGGGACAAGCAGGGGACAGACGAAGCGTGTTCTTGTAAGCCACGGTTACCCTAAAGAAAAATGCAGAGTCATGAAAGGATTTGGGGCAAGGAGTGACAAGAGTCAGATTTGCCTTTCAGGACATTCCCTTTGGCCCAGCTACAAAGAATGGAGCTGACAGAAGACCTGGCCATGGGCAGTGAGTCAGAAGTAAGAAATGGTGGTGGCCTGAACTGTGGCAGGGCCCCCCCGGCAGACTCCTGTGGAGAGTCTGGCCCCATGAGGCCCTGTTTCAGAGCACCCCGATCAGAACCCCACATCTGGATGCCTTTCTCCTCCCACCTTCTGCCGAGCTTGCTGGGAAAATGAGGTGGGATCTCTGGCCCCTGACTGGTCTTTCTCCCAGCAGCCCATTACCTCCTGAATGGAAGAGTTATTATAGTTCAATTAACGGATCGCTTGGGAAAGTCAGTTGCTGAAGAAAAAATCCCACCCAACAATCAGGCTCTTCTGAAGTCGGTGTGGTTATGCGATAATTGGTTAGATCATCCTTGTAGACTTCATATGGTACAAAGTGGGTCTGAAAAAAATTAAACCCCTATAAAAGAGAAAGTACCTGGCGCCCCCCTGACGGCTTCTTTGACTGGATTTGGCGATGAGGATGGACTCATTAATTCCACAGCCTCTTTACCTGGTTAAGGGGGAACCCCACCCTTCGGGCTCCTTCCAGAAGGTTCTCCTTCAGTTATCCGCTCCTCCGCTTGTATTTTCCCTCTCTGCCTCTTGACTGGCTCTTCTCGACTCTCATCTTGCCAAGCCTTCCCCGGGGACCCTGCATCTCCCGGGCGGGGGTCTTCTCTCCGCCTGTGCCTTCACAAAAACACCTTCCTCCAAGGAGTGCCCCACCCCCATCACTCCTCCACCCGCTGCCCTCCCTCTGCTGGCCCACATCCACAGACGCTGCCCCAACAAAGGTCACCAGTGACTTCTAATCAATGGGCCTTTCCGGGCACCTACCTTCTGGACCTCTCAGTGACATTTGACAACACTGCCTACCCCCTTCTTGAAATTCTCTCCTGTCTTGACTTCCCCACATTCTGACCCTCCTTGTCCGTATTTGCTGCTTCACAATCTTCCACGATGGCTCCTTTACCTCTGCCCCCCCCCCACCAGCCCACATAGCCCCAAACCTTGGCATTTTCCAGGACTCTGTCTTGGGTCTCCTCTCTTCTCTGTCCAGAAGTCCCCCCCAGGTGATCTCAGCCTCTCTTACTTGAACTGCTAATACTTGTTGTTGGCCCAAATCTGGATTTCTAGCTTAAAACACCTCTCCTACGCCCAAGACCCATAGAGCCAATGGCCCTATTTCTAGGCATCTATACAGGGACTTCCCATGAGCACCTCAAACTCAACCTTGTTGGTTCTCCCTTAAACTTGCTGCTCTTCAGGTACATCCTTTCTGGAAAAAAGCCCATCAGGTCACAGGAAACCTTTGTGTCACCTAAGACACTGTGCTCATTCTCACCTACCCACACCCAGTCAGGCACCTGGCCCCATCACCTCTGCCCTTAAACATCTCAGACTCATGCCTTCTCCTCTGTCCTCGAGGTCGCTGGCCTCACCCTGGCCCTCTGCCTCTAGTCTGTCCCATACCCAAGCATCCACCCATACCCACGCCATAGCCAGAGCTGTCCCCCTACAATGCAGATCCAAGAGGAGCTTGACCTGTGAGGGACCAGGTGGGCCCAGCCGACCGCTCAAGGCCTCTGGGGTGGCAGCTCTGCTCAGATACCATGTTCTGGGGCCCAGTCTTCAGCCTGCAGGCTGGGGGTGGACCCTGGCTCCCAGGGATCAACTCATCCCATTCATAGAGGCCGGGGCCACGTTTATTCAAAGGGAAATATGTCCTAATGAGAGGAGCAGCGTGCGTGTTCCTGTCTCCTGAGTAATTCTCCAAAAAGGGACACTTTTCCCGCAAGTTTTTAGGGTATTTGGGCCTGACGGTTGGGAAGATTTGAATGAAACGATATCAGAGGGCATAATGTGACAGCAAGACACGTAGAGAAGGTGGTCAGGGGTGGCCTCTCTTATATACCAGCTTCCCCACCAGCCAAGGCAAAGGGTTCTCCCCCAGTGGTGACCCACCTCCCCATGTGAGAGCCTGGCGATACCTTACTGGAGTGAACGTTGACCTCTGCTTGGCAACACTGGTTAGAGAAATGGGAGCCATCATAACAGTGTGTTCTTAGCTGGGAGCTGAGACAGTAACTCCCCAAAGAGCCCGGACTCGAGTTCCCCGGCTGGCACACTGCCTTGTGGCCAGGGCTAGGTCTCGGCGTTAGATCCTGGTCCATCTTAGGCAACCCTCTCAGGTCCCCTCCCTCTTCGGGAGCTTTGTACTGTCACTCAATAAACTTTACTATCACTCAAGAAACTTTGCTTTGCTGCCCACCACTTTTCATCTGGTTTACCTCTTCATTCTTCAAAGCGGCGTGACCAAGAACTGTGGTCACCGAAGGAAAAAAATCCTGTAAGTCCAGCAGAAAAATAAATGTTTTATCTTTGTATGTAGGACAAAAAATATGAATAAGCAATTAGCAAAAGATATACAAATAGCCAATGAACATATGAAAAGATATTCAATCTCTCTAGTAATATAGTAAATACAAAATAATAACGAGATACTATTTTTTTACATGAATATTGTCAAAAGAATTTTAAGATTGACAGTATCTGGTGCCCGGGTGGCTCAGTCAGTTAAAGCGTCTGCCTTTGGCTCAGGTCATGACCCCAGGGTCCTGGGATCAAGCCCCGTATCAGGCTCCCTGCTCAGGGGGGAGCCTGCCTCTCCCTCTCCCGCTACCCCCTGCTTGGGTGTGCTCTCTCTCTCTATTAAATAAATAAATAAAATCTTAAAAAAAGAAAAAAGATTGACAGTATCTTGTAATGCCAGTGGTTAAAAAAAAAAAAAAAGATTCTGGTTCTTCTTACTCTAAATGTCACACAGCCCGTTTCCAATGACCCCCTTCTTGCCTTCGTGGTCGTAAGCTATAGTCCCTGTCCTGACTGCAAGAAATTCTCCAGTCCCTTGTCTCCATGTTACTGCTCAGTGGATGGGAGCCCTGGATGCGGATTCTGCTCCCCAACCCTCAGGGGTAGGGATTGAATGTCATGTTTCTTTATGTTTCTATATCAGGTAACAAGCTCAGTGCCCTGGTACCTGGTTCGCGGGAAATTGAATAACAGGCATGATTTGGGGGCTGCTCATCTTCAGGGTTAGGGAAGACTCTGTAGTCTGGGATTTGGGGGTGGTGGTCAGCTAGTCTTCAGGTGACAGCCGTCACGGCTATCAGGTTCACTTTCTGCGGCCCTGAGGCCAGCCTCGCTAGGGTGGTGATGGGAGGGGGGACCTGCCCTGGGCGTTGACCCACACCCACTTTCTCCTGTGCCAAAGCCCTATTCCCTCCTTTTCCTCTCACCCCACAGTAGCCCTGGATGACCCACGGGGTACTGGTTAAAGGGCTCGTTTCTGCGTCCCTCGGACCTGAGGGACGAAAGGGAAGTACATTTGTCACAGTATATTCCTTTATGTTTTCTAGATTGTTTACCAAACATTCTGTGTTTGTTCATCAAAGTGTTTTCAGAACATTTTTAAAATTAGAAATATTTAAAATGCTGGGGCGCCTGGGTGGCTCAGTCAGTTAAGCGTCTGCCTTCGGCTCAGGTCATGGTCCCAGGGTCCTGGGATCGAGCCCCGCATCGGGCTCCCTGCTCGGCGGGAAGCCTGCTTCTCCCTCTCCCACTGCCCCTGCTTGTGTTCCCTCTCTCGCTATGTCTCTCTCTGTCAAATAAATAAATAAAATCTTTTAAAAAATATATTTAAAATGCTTTTTTTCCACAAAGAGCTTCTGCAGAGTCTGAAACCAGATCAGCAAGGGGGGAGTTATTATGGGATGGAGGGCCCTGCCTTTTGCACCACTTTGGAATGGGCGCCAGTACCCCTACCACATTAAAGAACAAGGGAAAGGAAAACCCTTTGAGTTTCCATATCAAAATACAGCTGAATGCAGGGCGCCGGGCTGGCTCACTGGGTGGAACAAGTGCCTCTGGATCTTGGGGTTGCGAGTTCGAGCCCCACATTGCAGAGATTACTTAAAGATACTATCTTTAAAAACAAAAACAAAACTACAGCTGGATGTATTAATGTTTCTGGATAACCTGCCTTTTTTGTTATCGATTTACCTGGTTTAACTCTCCCAGGTTCTGAGACGCCTCACTGCCTACCCGCAATTACGACCTTGCTTGAAACGGGTACCGCACAAAACTTCCTGATCCTACCTCTTCTGCCCCCCATTTTGTCCCCACCTCACACCCAATACACCAACCTTTTGGCTGTTTCCTGCCCATGTTGGGCTGTTTTGAGTTTCTTTACCTTTGCACCTTCTGTTTCCTTTGGCCGTCATGTCTTTCCTCTTTCTGTCCCACGAACGCATTCTGCCTGCAAGGTCCAACTAACGTCTTCCCAGGCAAATCTTCCTGGGCAGGTCCACGTTGGAAAGGATTCTCCCCCAGGCTCACGAGGGAAGCATGTCCCCTCCGTGGAACCCTCAGTCTCTCCTTATTCCCCTCAGGACCTGGCCGTCCAGATGAGGGTGGCCTCTTACAGGTCACCTGGCGGAGAATGGGAGGTGGCTTCGCTCTCTGCTTCTGCAACATTTCAGTGGAGGGTTTCCTGGAGTTGAGGGCTGTGGGCTGCTAAGTTAATTCCACAGCCAGTTTTCCAAGCCCCCTGACCTCAGACCTGGCCCATCAGTCCTGCTTAAAGGGGAGACAAGGGATTTCTGTTACACTCTGCACCTGCCCCCCACCGCCCCAATTTCTGACTGGCTCCCCACCCCGTCTACTCCCCTCCAGTGATCTAGGGTGCTCAGAGCCTCCCCACTGTAGATCTGGCTCAGCCCTTCAGCCTCCCAACTCCGCCCAGGTGCTTTGTGCTCTCAGCATTACTCTCCAAGCTGGAGCCCGCCGACAGGGCTCTGGCTGATGGCTGGTGAGGAGTCGGAGAGAGTGATGAGAAGCAGAGCCTGGAGGGAAGGGGGGGGACCCCACTGGAGAGGTGTGGGCAGGTGAGTTTCGCTTGCGGCCTCGCAGCCAAGAAAAAGGTTCCATCTGGAGGGTGGAGGAAGAACCCACGGACAGTCCCTTTCTGTCCCAGTTCCTTCTTCCTCTTGCCTCCCTCCAGCTGTGTTATTTCCAAAACCTACCCTTCCTCCAACTTGGTTCCCCAACCCTGACCCTGAGTGTTTGATTTGGAACAAGAGGGCAGAGGATTACATGGGCCACTTAAAGTCCAGGTTCCTACTTCAGCCCCACCTCCTGAGTTTGGCCTGACCCCTGACCCCTCCAGCTCCACCCCCACCCCCGCCCAACCATCTGCCCTTGGCTGCTTACCTTCAATGTGCCCATCATGCCTCTTGCCCAGCGGCACCTCTCAGAGAGCAGGAAACTCCAGAGACTCAAAGAGACGTCTTGCACCCAGGTCCTGTCTGTCTTTTATCTTTCTATTTCCCATTCTGCATAATGATTCAGGAGCCTAAGGACCATCCAGGAGATTTAACTATGGCTATCTTCATTATTTTGTCCCTGTGTAGTGTGCTGGTGACGGCCATGGGTGATGGCGGGAGTGAGAAAGGAGTGGAGAGGGAATGTAAACCCGGCCAGCCTCCCCGCTGCCCCTCCGTGTCCCCCAGTGCCCAG